ACACAGACTCTTCCACTCACACAACCTAATTTTGCACTGGGTGGGTCGCTGTCCTTACAAAGTCTGGCCTCAATGGGCACTTGAGGTGAATTATTGTTTGCGAGTGGAAACTTGGCCAGATAATCTCAGTGCTGCTGGCTCAGGGCTGAGTAAGACCACTGTCTCCTTCCCTACGCACACACGGGGCACACACAGCTTTTGTTTTACCATCTCTATTTCCAGTTCACACTTATTTGCTGACTCTTCGCCTTTTACAATAACTCCTTGTCTATGTACTTTTGCTCCATCTTTCTCTTCCTTTTCTATGACCTCTGCTTCTCCTCCTGCTCTCTCTCTCTCTCTCTCCACTACCCTTTTTCCCAGAAAACTCTGGCCTTTATCCCACAGGCCATTCACCTCGCTGTGGCCGTCCTTGCCAGTGCCGTGCAGTAAATTCCTGGGGTAGCTGGAAACACAAACATGCACAAACCTAAGGCAAGCAGCTCAATCAAGACAGACCCCTTCATAGCACCACTTCACCTACCACCACCACCACCTCTCCTTTCTCAGTTTTCCTTCGCACAAGGGGTCTTTGTCAGTAAGACTGCTCCACAAAGTCTCTCTTGAGATCTTCTCTTCAGCATTTGTCTGCAGCATAGGTATAATTCATGTGTCTGTGTCTCGGCTGTTTTGCCAGTCAGCAGAGTTTGATGTTAATCTTATAATTGGGGTCCCTTTAGCAGACATTAACCAATGTTTGGACTCAGGATTTCAGGAAAAATGTGATTACAGTGATTATGGCAGACTAATGATGTGTTAGATAAGAAAGGTTTGTTATTACCCGGTGCAACAGCCATCCCTAATATCAACTTTGTCTGATTAATATAGCTCTTGTCCTTTTTTAATAATGGGTCTAAGCAGTCAGTTACAGTCCAACCTTATAACACTAAAACCAACTTTATTTGACATATTAACATCACATAAAGTGAGATTTATGTATAAATGCTTAGAAAGTGGACTTCTGATTAATTTGCAATTGGAAAATTCTTACACGTCAACATCCGTGATCAACAGTCTTTCTCTCGAGTATGGAACACTGTTTTTCCTCTTCCTCTTCAAAAGGAGGAAGTCACTCCCCACACCTCTATGTCTAACGCTTTGCCAATGTGCTGAGCCAGTGGAAAATGAGATGTCCGCTGAAGAAACAAAGTGGTGTAGATAGATCGGCTGACCAAAGGAAGCAATATTCATACAGCATGTCCTGACTGATGGGGACCCGGCTATGTAAGTCTGCTAATGAGACATCTTCATGTTCACATTTTCCACTTGCCTCGCCTCAAGAGGCACATGATCTGCTGGTGCAACACAGGCATTTCCACCGCAGTCGTGTGTTTATTTAGAAAAGTGTTTAGGAATTAACTGATAATCTTTCGGTGGCTTCTGTTTTCCATTCCCTTTGGCTTTTTTCTTTGTGCAAATGTCTTAATCAGTTCAGAGCCGCGTGTTGTCTGAAAATGTGATAAGCTGCAGAGTCGGCAACAACGTTCCTCGCACAACAGCAGACACATTCATACAGTGCCGGTTGCTAGACGCTTTTCAAACCGAACCTGCAATTATTTGTCAAGCTATGTTGTCTCATGGTGTGTAGAACAGTACCCCAGTAATTAAAGCTCTATGTTGGGATGAACGAATAATCACGCTTACCAAAGCTGTGTTGCTTAACTTTTTTGCCTCCCCTGACTATCTGCCTCAATGCGACCATGTGTTTACCTTTAACCTAAATTATTAAATGAGGTTCTGTTTTGAGGATTTTTGCAATACATGCAAAAGTTACCCTGAAGGCAACGTCCCCTTTTTGAGTGCATTTTGGCATGCTTCATCATTAATGCTTACTCAGACAGCATGAACAAGACATTAGCATGCACAAAGGCTAATGACACTTGACATTTACTGTAGTTCACAAGATGCTCCAGAGCATATGGCAAATTTCCATTAAGAAACTGAGTCAACAGAGAGATTCAGACAACAGCTGTGGGGGAAATGATTGGTCTCCTCAATTTGAAAACTCAAAATGGCTCTCAGAGAGTCCCGCTATTTGCATAGATGCAATTTCCTCGAGAATTAAAAACCAGGAGGATTTCTGCAATGGTTTGGTTTCTGGCGTTCGTAGACACACACGCGGTCATTTCCACTCAATTTTCAGGGCTATACAATTCATTTTTGCCATTAACAACCTGCATCTAGATTGTTTCCCATACAACTAAAAGGCCCTTGGTGCAAGTCTTCATCATATTGCTCACTTCTGTGGTCCATAAGTGTTTAAATGGATTGAAAGATTAAGTGGTTTCAAGTAAACAAGCATGGAGTGATGGTACGAGGCAAAATTCCAATTTATTTTCTGTCAGTTTTAGAAAGGACATTGCAAACATCATTCACAGCCTAGAAAGAAAATGTTATCATGGAAAAAGCTTTGTTTTTTACTGACGTTTTGTAATGAATTCTAATGGTTTACAGTTAAAATATGCATGCATGCTTTATGTTCCATTATTCACAAAGGGTTGCCGCAGCATGTAAGCTCTGTGTGTTTTATTTGGCTTTTTTTTTTTTATGCCGGATGCCCTTCCAAAAGGATTTGTGTTTCCTCCCAGGATCAAACCTGAGATCTTTCTTGTGAAGTGAATATGTAAACCACTACACTCTATGTGCTGTGCTTATACACATTAAGGTTAACAGTGAAATGAAAGGTTCACAGTTGATTAGCCCAAAAACAGGAAGCAGGAAGTAAAGAGCTGTCCCCTCTAAAGATTCTTTCATGCATTTTTGTACAAACTGAACAATATCTTAATTTATGATCTTTCAGATTCATTTGCTACCCCTGAAATGAGCCAGACTGAACAACATGAATAAAGATATCCTGCTAAATCTTCAACTTTCCTCCAGAGCAGGCCAGCTGATCTACAGTCCTCATTTTTTTTTTATATAGATTGTAAAGATCCATTATGAATTAATATTTGCATTCCTACCATTACCTGAAGTGTGTCCTCTGGTTCAGATAAAGAAGAAGGTGCTGATGCACAGACTGATGGACTGAAAAAGAGAGAAAGAGATGCCCTTGGGGGTCAGTGAATGACCTAACATCTGCTCTGGGTTGGCCAACACAAAGCACTGCAGGCTGCCACTTAGGAAGCCACCAAAACCACTGACAGTGAACTGCAAAAATGGCAGATGTAAAAATAGATCTTGTCGCTTCTTTGGCACTATAAGGTTTAAAGGCCTGTGGAGCAAAGTCTGTGTGCCAAAGCTTGTTCACATGAGGCCTGTGTTACTACTGGGCGTACAGGGGAAAAAACATCAGCATCTAAGCACTGCTGCAGCTGCAGCTACAGCTCTAAAGTTTTAGAGCAGAAACCTGACAGCTCACAATGTGCGAACGGAGTGTGGGAGCACATGTGAGGCACAGCCATCATTTAACAGCTTCTACGAACAACATTTTTTTTTTTTTTTTTGCCTATCTATGCATTTTGACTGATTGTTCCTCATTCTGCTTTAGACTGAGCCATTAAAGTCAAATCACAAAGACATAAGGCCAAATGATTGCACAAGTCATCTTACATAAATCAAGTTAGGTTTTTTTTCCCTGGCTTCTTCTCTTCCTCTTTCTTTCCAAATCTCTTTTCTCCGCTTGACGTCTGTCTGACTCGGAAATTCTGAAATGATATTTTCCAACTTTTAATTTGCACACAAGCCTAAACACGTTGGACCTTTCTGAAGAGGCAGCTGCTACCGTGCACTCAAGGCACTCATGTTAATGATAAATCCCATTATGTCCAGACAGCAAGTGTATTACACTGAGTTTTGACCCTGGCCATGGTTATTTTCTGTTTATGATCTACCACAACTAGTCTTTCTTTTCTTTTTTTTCTATTTTTTTTAAGTATGGTATGCTTGTCAAATTGCAGTTTCTCTACCTGACTTGGTTTGTGCAAAGTTCAGATGGATTTTGCAATAACCACCTTGTCTGAATTCTGGATCACAGACTTTGTAATTCCAATTAACACCTTGCACTCTATGTTACATTAAAAAAAACATATTAGGCAATTACAGGGGACTTGTGCTGCAATATATTCCAGTACCAAAACGCTGTTAAATTTCTGTCACCTCGGTTTAATGGCTCACATTGCTGTTTGCATTTCATTGACAGCTGCCCCAAGTAATAAGGAGGCTGATTGTGCAGAGTGTGTGACTCCCCGAGAGTACTGAAGGAATCGCAAAGAATACACGCATTGAATCTGGTGAAGAGAGAAAAAACGCACTACGTCATGGAAAGAATAACGTCAGGTTTGATTAGGCGTCGAGGGGAAGAACCTCGTGCAGCCTAGGTGGGGTTGAGTCGCCCGGACAGCAAAACTGATGCATTTTCGTTGCCTACTGTCTGCAGGCTGCATCATATGATTGGGGGGGACTGTTGAATAATCCTGTTATTATAAAGCTACACGGGAGCAAAGAAGGAGTACTAGGGGATCATGACGTAACCGTTTCCATAGGCGACTGATATGCTGGCTAAGCCAATGGGAATCCACACCAGCGGTCCATACCCATCCTCCTTTTGACGTGCATCACATGTCCCTGGCGGTGTTGTGACAGAAATGAAAAAGGCGAGGCGAAATGGTTCACCCTGGTGTACTTCCGCCATCGTCGAGTTCCACTTTTACAACGTTATCTTTTGGCCGGTTGTCTCTCACGATATCCCCGATATCGCGTCAGCTTGATTTTAGCATTTTTAAATCATAGAGATGCAACAATACCGCTGTGAGACACGCACCTTTTATCGTGTTGCATTAAAAAAGAAATAGGTGGTCTTGGTCTGCATCTGTTCTGTAATTAAACATAGAGAGATTATTGTCTCAGCAGTCAGCCACGTGAGTTGCGGCAACATCATCCCGCTTTTCCACCGCACGCATGTGTCATATGATTTCCGGTCAAAGTGACATGGGTTTTCATGAGCTCGAGGGAGATAGGAACTATCTTGGCAGTGTGAGGTTTGCAGGCTTTGGTTGTGGTTGTGACAGCGCAGTGGGCGGGATTATACCTCAGATCAGGGGAGAGAGTCTAGTCTTTGGTGAGACTGAGGGGGAGTTAAAGAGAGAAAGGGAGCTGGGGTGCTCTTCAGAGGACGGAGTAAGTATTATTTTACTTATATTTTTCTCTATTAGCGCGGCAAAATGCCACACAATAGTTGATCTTTCCAAGTGATTTTGGATGTTGCATGTAACCCCATAACCGGTTAAAGTCTTCTTTTTTTGCACTGATCAACGAGGGCCAACCACTGTGGGTAGCTTGCCTTGGGTAGTTAGCGGTATACCAAGCTAATGTTAGCTATCTTGGAGGGATACTGACATGGGGCGGTTCGTTTTCCAACACAGGTAGCTAATCAGCCCGGGATGCTGCCAGATTTCATTCGCTTGTGCTTAGTTTGCTTGGGACTTCTGCATGGCTCATGGCTAAGTTTTTAGACTTGTCAGTCTGTTGGAAGTATCTTTTGTGAATTTCCCCTCTTTGCAGTCAGCATAAGCTAACGCATTAGTGCTAGTTGGCTAACCGTGTACGCTAGTCAGAACCGCTGTTATTTTTTTAATAACATATCTGTTGGGCTGCACATTGACGTTTCGACTTGGTTGCTCCTCGCGGGGTCCCGCTGTTAAATAACACTTCAACTATGGACCTTCATATCTTTAACAGAAAGTTGCCTGCATTGCATGTTACGTGGTGATATGTCATTCAGCTTGTCTAACGCCTCGGAGTTCCCGTTTTATGTGCAGATACATAACGTTAGTGGAGTACTACTAAACGGCCTGGAACTATATTCCGCGAGCGCTGGGAGTCCACGCGCTGCGGTTGCTCAACACACTCAACACGGGCAACTCGGGGAACCCATAAAACCGCGTTAGTCATTTCTGCTCTCTGTCGCCACAGTAAGCGTGTTTTGAATCTTCGTTTATTGACTAACATCATTTTCAGGGGCTGTCATTTGCTGGTGTCGCATTCTGTTGTCCAACACTTTAATTTGTACCGTATTCTGAAGACAATAATTTGACCGCAACTAGTAGGTTTTAATCTCAAGTCCCAATCTCCTAACCTCCTCGAAACAATTACGAGAAACCCATTTGAGCAAGTATGGCTGTTTACCACTCTTAAATGTCCTGGTATGGCAAAACTGTCAGGTTATTTCCGAACTAAGGGGGAAAAACTGCCACTTGTCGTCCGTAACGCTACTGAAAGAACAACGGTTATTTCATACTTACACGGCAATAGAAACTCACACACTGACTGCAGCTCGTCTCTTTAAATTACCTTCCACTTGCCCGTAATGTATCTCGTATTTCTTAGGGCTTCCAGGTACTGCAAGATGATTACGTACGTTAACGTTACACTCTTAATCTTGATTGACGACGTAATATAGATTGGTGCACTCAGACATTACCTGCAGTATCTAGGTCGATGTGGAGTGCAGCCACAGAGCACCTTTTGGTGTCTAGTTGAAGGGATCACTCCTTATCCAATTAAATAGCACCCAGCTTGCTGCAGCGCCAGCAGTGTCTTTCAGTGTTTGTATAATGACTTGTGATTCTACATTCTATTATTGTAGTTGTATGAAAAGACGCTGAACATAAAACTCGGTGACACAGAGCGTGCTAGTCACCTGTAGTAGTCATCTGTACTCTGGTCTTGTTAAATAATATAATGACAGATAAGCAATTACACGGATTTTATAATCACAATATCTTGGTGCACAATATTGTATTAGCTGCAATGACAGTTGCTGTGATTCAGTTTGGAGACATGTTTGAATTTTCTAGCTAATACTGCGTTAGAAGTCTATTTTTTCCAGGTTTAGCAGTGAGTAATGCTTCATTGTAGCTGCCTAGCGCAGCATATAGAAATTGAGTTTGTTTAATGATTCACTTAGATCATCAGTAACACAATCTGTTGCCTTGTCTGAGCCCTTTGAACTCAGACTGTTGCTGTCACTCAAGAATGACAAAAATATCTTTTCTTATTCTTTGCTGTGCCACCCTTTTTTTTTTTTTCTAATGGCTGATTATAGACATTATCCCTCTCCTTGAGTGACTAATATGAGTCAGTAGTTATTTGAATACTTTTTTAAATTCTTTCAAAAAGTTGTTATATTTCAGAGGGAAGATCACCTGACCTTTGTGGCTCATTAGTTCGTTTGTAGAAAATCAACCTTTCAAGACTACACCTCTACGTCCTTTTCAGCGGTGCATGTTTTTTCTTTCTTTCTGTGCTGAAGAATGGTGTTCGCACCAATCTTACATGCTCCTTGCTGCCGAGATAACTGCTTATTTTCGAGTACTCACAAAGCTATAGCCACTGTGAAGTAATGCCGCATATCTGGTATACTTTCTTCCAGGCAGTTGTCGCCTGCCAAATCTGTTCCTAACTCATCATGGATGAGTTCCTCTTACAGCTGCTGGTTCACATGTTCACTTATTTCATTGTCATGCTCTGCACTGCAGACAACTATAAGCCCAACATTAAGACAAATTACTAACATTTGTCCTTAGTGTACTCTGTAATTCTTCAAGTTTAATGTTTATAATTGCTAGTTTAAAGCATTATTTCACTGAGGTGACCACTGCAGGTCATTAATCTAAGGTGGCGTTAAGCCTCATGTAAACCAGCATGGAAAGCTAAATATAGTGTGGTTTTGAACCACGAAGTGTCATGTATTTATGGTAACATTTACCAATGATGGCATTTTACTTATCTTTATTACTGTGTGTGGATTGTAAGGTCAAGATTATTTCAAGCAGGGGTTTTAGGTTACAGGGTCTTTTAGTCATTCATTACTACTTGTTCATTTAAATCTTGTTTAACTTGGCACGAGAAACAAATTACACAGGTGTGATGACCAGTTATATGCTTCAGTTTTTAGTTTCAGGAGATCAAATGTACTATAATTGAAGATTGGCAAAAGTTATTATATACTGGGATTGTGCCTAATTAAAATAATTGCAAAGCACATGCTACAAAATAGCCCTTAAGACTGTCAGAAGGTCTAAATATGCTACCAGTCAGTCTGACGGACATTTATGTTAGTTTTGGCATCTCTGCAACATGGTGGGCTCCATGGTTTGATGTGGCAATGATTAAAGGGACATTTTTAAAGTGGGCTAAATGATTTAACTGTATTATTATTATTTGTTCATTTGGACTTCAGCGTCACTGAGCTTATATAATAGAAGCATACTTCCAGACCTCAACTTCTCTCATCGTAAAGTATTGCTGGTTGTCTTGGATGTTATCACTTGTGGCATACAGTATACAGTCCTGCTCTGGTGTAATCTTCTCTACACATTCAAACTGCCATTGTAGCGTGCTCTGAAAATCTTGCAACAATAGTACAGTGGAGGAGGGCAAATAATATCATACGATGGAGCCAATGAGAGAGCAATTCCTGCCTAATCAAGTCAGAGTAGTGTATTTGTGGGAAACAATTGCTCCCTGAAATACTACTCTAATTTTTATTTGAATCAAATGCAGTCATGTGGATCATGAAATCATTTGTCTGTTCCTTAAAGCTTCAAAACTTTCTTTCTAGTATACATGCATGACATGTGTTAAACCATAGCAATGCATTCTGTACCACAGTTTTTTTTTTGTAAAATATATAATGCACAAGTCAACAATTGTGCATCCTAAAACTGAGTTGATGGCAACAGCAATTTCAGACTGCAGCAGATAATGATGGGGCAGCAGGACCCCAGGCCACTGATCTGGTCTGTTGTATCGCACATAAGCAAGAACACAGAAAGCCTCTGATCTTCAAAGTGCCTCAATGAAAGATGCCTCATTTTGGAACATTTTCAATCCTATGCACATGAAATGCTATGCAAAAGCTCAATAAAACCATACCTCCTGGTGTGCATTTACATCTTTGACAGGAGGAAATTAGTAGAAAGGAGTAAAATTTTTATATTTAAGTATAGTATTTCTTTGGCCAGTACTATGAAAGAAAAGGGGCATGTTTGATTTGATGATAACAAATTCTGTAGGTAAATGTTGAAATTTTAATTCTGAATTTGTCCAAATATTTATTTATTTATTTATTTATTTATTTATTTATAACAGTGGGGGGTGGAGGGTAAGGATACAACTTTAACAACAGGACAGTCTTCCAGCACTCAAAAATACTCATGTGCTCAGTTTCTCAGTTTTACTTATTTAAATGCCCAGCTTTCCCCTCATTTCTGTATGTAGCAACAATTATTTTTGACATGCTCTATAAATGTTAATATAAACAGTTTTGAGAAACCGGTCAGTCTTCATGTGCCTAGATGGCCACTATGTACTAAATTTTATAACTTGTCTGTTCTGTTGTTATGTAAGAGGTTAAAAACCGGTCTATAAGAATGTGTTTCACCTGCATTGCTTTTGTAAGACGGCGTCAAACTATTTGTTGGTAAATTTAAGATATTACTGCTTATGCTTTTCAAATTCGTACTGCTTGTTGTATAGCAAATTCTTTTTGTTGGCACAAAGGTTCAAAAAGAAAAGTACAACCTGTTCCTTAAAAGGTTTGAAAAGTAAATGCTAAATTTTTAATTGCTTAAAAAGTGGTTGAAAGTCTGATTTGCAGATCTGTTGCAAACAGGTTGGTAAAATTGGGTATAAAAACAGAGAGAGGCTTTTAGAAGTAACACAGACAGGCGTTAACATCCTTGTAAAATTGCATTGGCAAATAGTTATAATGAAAACTTAAATTTAATTAATTAATTAATTTAAAAGTAATATTTTTCAACATTCACTTGCAAAAAAGAAATAAGATTTCATAATTTATGAAGCATAATACTATAAAACACTGAATGGTGGTCAAATTTGTGCCCTCAGGCAGTAGTGCCTTATAATTGTACACAGGTCAGGGAAATTCACAACTAGGAATGAATCCACGAATGTTTAATTGAAACTTTACCAGTTGGGGGTTAAAAAAAATGTGTATAGCCAACGTGTAATGGACTAAGGCAAAACAGAAATGTGTGCTGTGGTATGATAAATGAAAATGTAAAATTATTTTTGGAAGTATTGACATTTTTACCCTTCAGAATAAAGAAGAGGGGACAGACTGGCTTGTTATCAGTACAAAGTTTTACATACTG